CTAATAGATGAATATCAGTGTCCACAACCCACTGAAGGACAACACTCTGGAGCCTGTTGCTGGCATTACCACCATTCCTTCTTTTATTATTAAAGTGGAAAGTATCCTTCTTATGGTTTTGATGGCAGATGTCCCACAAAGAATCATATGTTTGAACAGGAGTCACTGTTTGGGGAAGGTGTACATCTTAGGAATGGGGCCTTGCCAGAAGAAGTCGGTCACTGGCAACAAGGGAGAACTGGATGTAACCAGCCTCCTCAGGTTCCTACTGCCCTAGATCCCTGCTTTTCCTGCTAACATGCCATCCCTATCCTTGAGTGCAGAAACTGAGGAAATCAGCATGATTTGTGCTAAAACTTGATTAGTTCATCTTTTGCTGGGATGTCACAAGAAGCCATTGTGAGGAATGATAGACATCTGGCCATATACAGAAGGCACTAGGGCTGGTTTCTGTCCATATAGTGTGGTAGCTGTCGGTTGGTGGATCTCCACACTGGTGAGCTCCACGAGGACTCTGCACAGCTGTTGAACCTCATCAGAGTGAGTTCCCTTCTGAGGCCATGGCATTTGTAGCTTTTCTGTTTATTTATTCATTTATTGGTTTCAGGAATGATTGCCTTACTCTTACTTTTCTTTATAATCTCCCACTTTATTTTATATTCTTCCTTGATCTCTCATTTTCACGTTGATTTACCCCTTTTCACAATTACAAAACTCAGGAATCAGATGTTGGGGAGAAAACCTGCTAGATGAAGAGAGGCCGAGAAGCAACCAGAAGACCTTCCTTGGTCACCAGAGACCCAAGGAGAAAAGTGTCTCTACACTTGTCCTAAACCAAAAAGACCCAAAATCTCTAAGTCCCTCCCTCCTCCTTCCTGGGCATCTCTCTATCCATAGTCCTGGTTCCTCCTTCCTCTCTGTGGCTAATTCCTGTCAACTAGTTGCTGGCTCCACCCTGTGACCCAAGGTTAATTTTATTACCAGTCTCTAAGTTTCTCAGTGCTATCAAATATCCCATAATACTTTCCTGTTTCTTTTTTTCCAATTGAGCTCCTATATAATGTACATCAGCTACCCTGAAGGACTCCTCTCAGGCTGGACACAGCGAGTTGTATCATATCTAATTGTGAGGGGTGTGTGTGTGTGTGTGTGTGTGTGTGTGTGTGTGTGTGTGTGTACTCTGTGTGTGTGTGTGTGTGTGTGTAGTGTGTATATAAGTGTGAGTCTGTGTCTGTGTCCTGCCAAGTCTCTGTTGAAGCATCAGTCACAAAACAAAAGTATTAAGATCTGAGGACTCGGCCGGGCAGTGGTGGAGCACGCCTTTAATCCCAGCACTCAGGAGGTACAGGCAGATCTCTGTGAGTTCGAGGCCAGCTTGGTCTCCAAACTGAGTTCCAGGAAAGACACAAAGCTACACAGAGAAACCCTGCCTGGAAAAAAAAAAAAAAAAAAAAAGCTGGGCGGTGGTGGCCCATGCCTTTAATCCCAGCACTCGGGAGGCAGAGGAAGGTGGATCTCTGTGAGTTCGAGGCCAGCCTGGGCTACAAAGTGAGTTCCAGGAAAGGTGTAAAACTACACAGAGAAACCCTGTCTCGAAAAACAAAACAAAACAAAAAAAAGATCTGGGGACTCACAAGCACTAAAGACTTGCCACACAGCAGAACATGTGGCCTTTAGAAAAGGGCTTTGATAGACTGAGTCCATGCTTTTCCTTGACCACGTGAGAATACATACAAAGTACCAATTAGAGTTAGAAAGCAGCCCTGTTACACACTCAATCTGTTGGTATCTTGATCTTGCTTTGCCAAACTCCAGATACACAAGCAACCGATTTCTGTTGTTTATAAGGGACAAACTAAGACATTTTGTTTGAGAGCAGAAGGACTGGGGTGCCAGAATATGGCTCCATCTCCTACACATGTTGTCTATAGGGTTCTGGCTGACAAGTACTTTCTTGACCATTTTGAACATATCAGGCCACTGTCTTCTGGGATCCTGGACTTTGGTGAGGACTCTCAGGAACAATAGGGACCATGAGACAAATGGTGTCAACTTTCTCTCAGCCCCACAGAAGTTAGTCCTAAGTCCTGGGGTGCCATGGAAAACAGTATTTTCTCACAATATCCCAAGGTAGTCAGGAGCTGTCATCCTATAGGACCCATCAATCTGAGTTAAAGAAAAATAAGTTGAATTCTTTGAGAGTAGACATGATGAGTTATTACAAACTTGTCACCGAAGGCTAGGGTCCAAATGAAGAGCAAAACACTCTCCACCTACTAAGGGGAGACTATCAGTCTGTAACCAAGGCAGGGCCAATGCTCTGGAGCCGTTGTCATTCTTATGACTCCTTGTTTTATTATTAAAGTGGAAGGGTCCTTGTTAAGGTTTGGGTGTCAATGCCCCACCAAGAATCGAGTGTTTGGACACTGGTCCCACCAGGTGACACCATTTGGGGAATTTTTGGATCTCGGGAAGTGGCCTAGCAGGAAGAGGTGGGTCACTGGGCAACACTGAGGACAGCCATTTGAGTGTAACCAGGCTCCTCAGGCCCCTACTGCCCCAGTGGCCAGACCAGTGAGCTGTGCCAAGCCCTCATTGGTCCATTTCTTGCTGTGATGTCACAATGACAGACACTTGTGCACTCACAGCTCTGGCTGAGGCTGCCTCCTGTCGTCACAGTGCAGGAGCTGTCGGTTGGTTGGAGAGGTGGTGTTCGGCACTGGTGAAAGAAAGAGTCGACTTGGACTTTCGGGAGCTGTTGGACCCCGACATTGTGAGTTTCTCTCCAAGTCTGTTGACTTTATTTGGTTTCTTGTTCTCAGTGAATTTGTCTCTTGGCTTGCTTTATTTTTGCACTTACTTTTTCATGTTCTTTATTATCTTCTATTTGACTTTCTATTCTTTTTGGTGTGTATGGGGTAATTCAAGACAGGGTTTCTGTGTGTAGCTCTAGCCTTCCTGGAACTCACTCTGTAAACCAGACTGGCCTTGAACTCAGAGATCTGCCTGCCTCTGCCTCCTGAGTGCTGGGAATAAAGGCATGTGCCACCACTGCCCACCAGTTTTTATTCATTTTTAGGCTATGTTTACTGAGGTAGAATATTTTGATACTTTTATTTTATGGGTGTGAGTATTTTGTCTCCATGAACGTCTGTGCACCATGAGCCTGGTACCCGTGGAGGTCACAAGAAGGAGACAGATTAACTGAAACTCAAGTCACAGGTGGTTGTGAGCCTAACCGGCTCACATAGGGCACCTAACCGGGGTTCTATGAAAGAGCAGGAGGTGCTCTGAAACACTAAATCATCTTTCCAGCCCCTCGGTGTTTATCTTTACCTCTTCATGTATTTTTGTCATGTTTTCCTTGATTTATTTCTCCTATTTCAAATCTTTTCTTGGTACTGAATACAGCACATAGAAGCGATTTAGTTATGACAATCACAGGAACACCTGTAATGCATTTTGATCACATTAATCATGTGATTAACCTGTGCTGTTATGTTTTCTTCTCCCACTTCCTCCTCCACTTTCCTAGTAGCCCCTTTTTAAGTTGACGACCCCCTCCTGCTCCCAAACCCCACAGAGGAGAGAAAACAAGCGGCACATTTGGAGGACTGGCTTTTCCCAGTCTGTCCTTGTTGAGAGCCCCAGTTTCATCCTGGATGGCTTCCCATGGCTTGACTGTGGCACTCTTGCCCTTCATTCCGTTTCTATATTGTGGTGTTTGTCCTCTAAGCATGCAGAGCAATCCTTGCAAGGATCCTTGTGAGTGTGTTTTAACCATCAAGTATGGCCTTATTAATGTGTTGTGGAATTTGGTGAGAAGTATTAGTACTATTATTAAGGACTTTCACATCCATGTTCATCATGGAAACAGCCTTTTTTTTCTTAATAGTGTCCTTTCCTGGCTTTGGCATGAATGAGTTTGGAACTGTTAAGTCCTTTCTGTTTTGTGCAGTTTGGAGAAGTGCTGACATTTGTTCTTTAGGGGCTGGAATGACTCATCAGTAAGTGCCTGGTCCTGGGCTTTTCTGTGCAGAGTCATTTTTCATAAATACTTCAACCTTTTTGTTTATCATCTCTTCTAAAGTTGAATTTGTATCTAGAAATTTCTCAATTTCATCCACATTTTCCAATCAATGAGAAGAACCCTCTGGGTTTAAAACACAGATAATATTGATAATATTGGGGTGGGGTAGGTTTGAGAAATGGCCCAGCAGATAGGACCACGTACTGTTCTTACAGAAGACCTAGGTTTGCCTCCCAGCACTCCCATGACACACCATAACTGCCTGAAACTCCACTTCCAAGGGATCTGATGACCACTTCGGGCCTTCTAGGTCATAGAAAAGAAATAATACAAAAAGTATCAGTATTTTAAGTTATTTGTACTACCTGTGAGTGTGCGTGTTGGCACCCTTGAGTGTGCATATGTCTGTGCAAGTCTGCCCACATGGGCACATGCATGCATATGTATGGATGCCCTCAGAGGCCAGAGGTGTAGGCTCACCTAGAGCTGGAGTTAAGGTAGTTGTGAGCAGCCTTACTTGGGTCCTAAGAACCACATACAGGTCTTCTGAACTCCTGAGCCATCTGCCTACCCGGGCACTCTGGGTTAGGGGGTGTCTGTTATCATATCAACTGCTCTTGCACCTGATTTTATTAGTGCCTTCTCTCTCAGTGAGTGCTGAGTTCGGGTAAGAGGATGATTATCCTTCCCAAGAAATGGCTCTTAGCTTCTGTGACCCCTTGTTTTATTCTCTGTTTCTGACTGATTCCTAACAATCCAATCTGTGTCTTATTCTGCTGTCTGCTGCTTTGGAAGGTGCTTTCTTCTCTTCCTGAGCATTGAGTCCCGGTGAGGTTGTCTAAAGTATCTCTGACTTTCTTTTCCTTTTGGATGTAGGAATGTGTATTTATAAACAGTCTGGGCCTGATTTGGACTGTAGAAAATTCCCCATTGAGGGTTTGGTTCTAGCAATATCAACGAGGACCTGACCATGGAGCAGGGCAGGGAGGCCCACTGCTCTGCTGAGGAGACCTTCACCGCTGACTATAAGATGATGATGACCCTGGGCCAAGGACTGTTTTCAGAGGTCAAATTGGCCTTTCACGTGCCCACAGTATCCTGTGTGGTTGTAAAAATTCTTAGAAACAAGAAGAAGTATGCCTCATTTATCAACAGTGAAGTCAACATCATGAAATCCCTTGCCCACGCCAACATCATTAAATTGTTTCATGTGGTCCAGACCAGGGAGACCACCTACCTGGTGATGGAGCATGCATCAGAGGGAGACCTCCTGCATCACGTCCTGGAACTGGGGTCCTTAGAGGAGAGCGAGGCTCGAAGGTTGTTTATCCAGATATTGCATGCAGTGCAGTACTGTCACGATAACTCTATTGCTCACAGAGACATTAAGGCTGGGAACATCCTCCTGGACTGCAGGGGTAATGCCAAGTTGGGCGATTTTGGCCTTTCGGCTAAGGTCATCCCTGAGCAGAAGTTTAGTGGTTTCTGTGGTACTCTATATTACTGTGCCCCGGAACTCTTTGGAGAGGAGGCCTATGATGGCCGTGCCACTGATATTTGGAGTTTAGGTGTGCTCCTCTTCCTCATGGTCGTCGGGCACTTTCCCTTCAGAGCTAGCTCTGTTGCAGGGGTGAAACAGCAGATCCTTGCCGCAAACTTCAAGGTGCCTCCACATGTTTCCATCGACATTTTCAATGTCATCGTCGAACTGCTGATCATCAACCCTAGCAGGAGGCCCACCATAGGCCAAATCATGAGGCGCCCCATGGTCAGGAAGAGTGAGGCTCGTTCACCACCTACTTCCACCCAGTCTCTCCCAGGCACCCCGAGCCCTAGCATTGTCAAGGCCATGACAGTCATGGGGTACAAATCTGAAGAAATCGTTGAGTCTCTGAGAGACCAGAAATACAACCAGGTGATGGCCACTTACCTAATTCTACAGCACCAGTCACCTGGGGGAGACTGCTACCATCACCAGGAGAAAACCGTGAGAGCCATGCAGCCAGGCCTTGTCCTCAACCTGGCAGATCTTCGCACTTTCCCTGTGTCCTTAGGGAGAGCTACCGAGCCTGCTCCCCCCACCTTCACCTTGCCATCGAAGACCAAGGAGAAAGATGAGAAGAATGTCAGGCAGGGTGGCACAAGTCACAGCATGCCTGCCGCTCTGTTCTGCCAGCCAGAGAGGATCTATCCTTATCTATCCCACCTGTTCTGTCCTGTGACTGATTCCTTCACAAGCAACAGCCTGGAAAGCATTGAGTATTTCACACAGTCCGAGATTAGGTCATTCGGTGATCACATGGCCAGTGTCCAGCCACCTCTCTTTCTGTACACCTCCTCTCCTATGCCACACCAGAGTGAGACTAGAGGTGACACAGACAACATGTCCTCCTGCAGTCCCCAAGAGGAACTCTGGAGCTCCCAGGAGGCATCTCACTATTTAACCCCCACAGGCTCCTCTTCTCGGGATACATTGCAGGAAGAGACCAGAACCCAGAATGAGGCCATCACCCATGATGCTATCTTGACCCAGGAAATGACCATGAACCTTGAAGGGACCATGTTCCAGGATGAAGCCATATCACAGGAAACGAACATCATGATCGTAGAGGCCATCATTCGGGAGGCAAACATCATCCCAGAAGCCACCATGACCCAAGTTGAGACCCAGGAAGAGGCTATCACTCTGGATGTGGCCATGACCCAGGAAGTGGCCATCACCCATGGCCAGTCCCAGGATGCAGGCCCAGCTTCTTCCCGAACCTGGAGGCGCCACAGCTGGAAGAGGGTCAAGAAAACAATCATGAACTGCCTCAGAAACCTCTGCTGCTGCTGCTGCCTGCCTCCTGCAGAGAGAGGCCATGCCTCCTGAAACAACCTGGCTCCAAAGGGAAGGGATCATGGAGTCGCCCCCAGAACCAGGTGGGTGCACTTACTTCATTTTATTTGTGCTTCTCCTCCTGTCCCTTGTGATAAATGATGCCTGTGCCCACTCGTGGCACACTCGTGAGCTTAACAACCTGTCACCTCAGAGAGACCAATCCCAGAGAATCCCCTCAAGTGTGACCTCAGGCTTTTTGAGCTACAAGTGGACAGCAGAGATGCTGATGAGAGCAGGGAGAGCAGGAGGCGGGGCAAGTCCAAAGGAGGCAAAGATCCCATGGAGGACCATTGGGGTGCTTAGACACTGCAGGGCCAGCATAGTAAGTCCTGTGTGTTCCAAAGCCACTAAGAGTCTCCTTCCTGTGTCTTTCTGCTTTGAAGTCCTCAAGAGGTCAAGCCCCAGCTCCATGGCTTGTGAGCCACAGGTTGGGGACCCATCTGGCTGAGAATCGGACAGCCCCATGGGGAGCCAGGCCAGATGTCCGGGAGGCAGTGTGGACACAGGCCCCTCCTGCGGAAGGAGAGCTGTCCACCCCAGCGCAGATCTCTCCAGGTAAAATCCCAGGCAGGAAGGACAGACTTTTCACAGGGTCTTGCTCAGAGGGGAGGGCTGAGGTGCAAAGGGGCCCTAAGATGTCTCATGGAACAATAGCCCCTTGCCCTCTCCCCCTGCCTGGCTAAACATCAGAGATGGCCCTCTGGGTAGTGACTGTCCTCTGCTCTCTGTCTCTGGGCAGAGAACATGGTCTTATCCATGAGGTGAGACTTCTCTCCCCAGGGAGAGTATTTCTAGTCAGCCTGAACTACCTGCCCTAAAACGGGTTCCCAGGTTCAGAATGTGACCAGCAAGCAGCCCTGTAGGGCTCCAATAGAGGGTAGCTGTGGCGATATTGTGTTCCCCAAAATATTGTGCACCCTAATAAACTTATCTGGGTCAGAGAACAGAACAGCCACTAGACATAGAGCCCAAAAAATGGTGGCACATGCCATCTGGATCTCTGTGAGTTTAAAGCCACACTGGAAACAGCCAGGCATGGAGACTCACGCCTTTAATCCCGGAAAGTGAGCCTATAATCCCAGGAAGTGATGGCAGAAAGCAAAAAGGTATATAAGGCATGAGGGCCAGGAACTAGGCAGGTTAAGCTTTTAGGCTTTTCAGCAACAGTTCAGCTGAGATCTATTTGGATGAGAACTCAGAGGCTGCCAGTCTGAGGAAACGGGATCAGCTGAGGAACTGGCAAGGCGAGGTAGCTGTGGCTTGTTCTGCTTCTCTGATCTTCCAGCATTCACCCCAATACCTGGCTCTGGGTTTGTTTTTATTAATAAGACTCTTTAAGATTCATGCTACAGGTAGCCTCCTGCCAACCTTTTGCAAGAACCCCCAAAAGTCATCACAGCAAGGTACATTGCTTGAGTCCTCAGACCCAACTCAGAGCAAAGCTTGGGACAATCTCTACTGGGGAGTGACTCCAGGGCCCGCTGAGTCTTCTCTCTCCACCAACTCTGCCTTCTAGTTACTCACCTGCTGCCTCTCCATGCTTGCACCTTCAAGGCCACCATTCCCATTGGGAACTGGATTTCACACTCACCACCACGTGCCACACCAAGAGGCAGTGATAGGTGTCGTGATATGGATCGAAACAGGAACCCTTATGAGGCAGCAGCAACCTGCTGTGGGCCCTGCCTCGTGCCAGCCCAAGTCTGCACTCAGAGGGCCATATCCCTAAGGTCACTTGTTCTTATACAGGTAAGCAGGCTTTTGCACATCCTTTGGGCGAGTTTCCTGGAAGCCTCCCCTGTCCATCCCACAGTCACATTGGTAAGGTCTCATCTCATTTATTCTTTCTGCTTAGACGGTGCCAATATGCCACAGCATGAGACACAGAAAAGTCTGTGTCACTGATGTAGATGGTACATCTGTCTATGTGTCTCCCTAATGTGACATGGAAACAAGGGTCCTGGGATGATAATCATGCTCTGCTGACTTCTGTGTCCAACAGCATGTCTTGATAGTGTTCCAGCACTAGGAGAACACATCTGCCACATCTGTTCTGTCCTCTGAGCACCACTAAGCTCCTAGGACAGACATTTTAATGTGCTCAATCTGAAAAGAAAAGAGAACCTTATTCCACTCTGGGGTGGGAAGAGCACCCCAGAACCCCATGCTTCTCAACCCACCGACAACAACTCTGGGAAAGTACATTGCAAAGGATCCTTTGCTGGCCTCAGCCACTGGATCTGCTCAGAAAAAACTGAGGAGGACTTCTCAGGCAACTCTGGCCAATGTGGGAGGGAGATCTGACTTCACATTGTGATCCCCCTAAGACAACTGTATTGTTCTCCTGCCCCCATCCCCAGGAATATAAAGCCACTGTTGAGTATCTCTGTCTTGTCTCTGTCTTTGTGTCTCTCTTTCTCTCTCTGTCTCTCTTCTACACGAACAACTTCCAGGCAGGTCAGCTGTTCTGTCTTAAACTTGGACCCCCTAGAGAATCACCAAACACTGAAGATTGCTATAAACAGCAAACCCAAAATGCAAACATGAAATAAAAATTGCAATTGATTGAAAGAGATACATGATATTAAAACTGACCAACCAAAAAATAATACATATAAAACCTTGAATGACCCACCCTAATAATAACAGTCTCACAGAAGCATGCTAAGGAAACACACTCCACCTACAACCAAAGATGGAAATTGGCTTTCATTCCCTGACAGGTGTATTAAGGTGTCACACGCACACTTCCATTTTATTTTCAGACATTTGGTTCTGTCTACTTTGCTACAAACTGTTTTCATCTGCTATTTTGTTTGTTTGTCTGTGTGTTGTTTGTTTTTGGAGACAGGGTTTCTCTATGCAGCTTTGGTGCCTGTCCTGGATCTCATTCTGTAGACCAGACTGGCCTTGAACTCACAGAGATCTGCCTGGCTCTGCCTCCCAAGTTCGGGGATTAAAGGCATGCACCACCACCGCCCAGCTCCTCTGCTGGTTTATGTGTTTATACAGAGTATTGCCCTATAACTCAGGCTCGACTGAATTCAGTATGTAGTCCAGACTGGCTTTAAATTCCTGAGGATCCTGCTGCCTCAGTTCCTCTTAGGTGCACTGGAACACTGTTAGCATTTGTGGTTTAGTCAAAGTCTCATATATCCCAGGCAGACCACTCTGTAGCCAAAGATGACCTTGAGCAGGATCCTCATCTTCTTGTCTCTAACTCCCCAAGGCAGAAATTCCAGTTTTGAGCCACTCTGCCCTGTTAAGTATGAAAAGCTCAAGGGCAGTATAGGCAGGAGTGAGTTGCAGGCTGAGTGGAATCCCATCTCAAAAAGAACATGGAAATTCTGAACATTTTGAACTATCAGAGCTGGACCCGGGCTGGGGAGATGGGGGAATGGCTAAAGCGCCACAGAGAAAGGAAGGACTGTGTGAAAACAGGATGTGGCCGTGTCCTTATGTCACCTGAGGCCTGGTGCTGAAGAGAGGCAAGTGTGGGAGCTTGCTGGCCTGAGGTCAGTGAGACGCCCTGTCTCGGGGCTGGAGAGATGGCTCAGAGGTTAAGGGCACTGACTGCTCTTCCAGAGGTCCTGAGTTCAATTCCCAGCAACCACAAGGTGGCTCACAACCACCCGCAATTAGATCTGGTGCCCTCTTCTGGCCTGCAAAGACACATGCAGGCAGAACACTGTATACATAATAAAAATAAAATAAACCTTAAAAAAAAAAAAGACACCCTGTCTCGAAAATGAAGGTGAAAGCCCGGTGGTGGTGGAACACCCCTTTAATCCCAGGACTGGGAGGCAGAGGCAGGCAGATCTCTGTGCGTTCAAGGACAGCTGGTCTAGAGAGCCAGCTCCAGGACAGCCAGGTAAACTCAGAGAAACCCTGTCTCAAAAACAAACAAAAAGAATTAAGGTGCAAAAGCATCTGATGAGTATTCCTGGGCTACATGTGTGCTCAAAGGGTTAGAACAGACAGACAGACAGACAGACACACACACACACACACACACACACACACACACACACCTGTGGTCACGCATGCATCATGCACAAATACACACACTCTTTGTGCAGAGTTCTCCAACCCTGTCCTTACCTGTTCCCCCTCACTACTGTCTATTCCTTATACTCATGGCCTTTTCTTTTCTTTGCCAAAGCACATGACTCTTAAACCCCACGGTGGCATAACTACCAGTCCCCTCTAATGAGGAATCCTCTCATTTTTTCTCTCCTCTTGTTTTGACTCTGGTTTTCTGTCTGTAGTCCAGGCTGCCAAGGACTGGAGACCCTCCTGCCCTCAGCCAACTGATTGGAGGGGATCCAGGTGTGCACCTGGTCTTAGTGCATTTGAGGGGTTTTGTTTTTTAAACTATCTATGTAGCGGTGGATGACCTTGAACTTTTAATCCTCTGCCTCCACCTACCAAATGTAGGGACTACAGGAATTCCCCACCAAGCCTGGTTTATTTGGTCCTGGGGACCAAACCCAGGGCCCCCTGCATGCCGGGCAAGAGCTGAGTCACACCTGTAGCTCAGGCTAGCCTGGGACTCACTATGTAGCTGAGGAAGACCTCCTGATGGAATTACAGATCTACAACATTGACCCTGAATTTTTTCGCTCTCTTTTTCTTTTAACCTTTCTAGATGACCTAGTCTTTTTATTGAGAGTCTTTTGGAGTGCCACAAACATGAGCTGTATCTGGATGCTGCTCTTCTTCTGAAGCTGGTGAGCTGTGATCTGGGCAGGAGGGAGGGAAAGGAGGCTGTCCCACCCCATGCCCTCTCAAGGACACTCAGGTCAGTATGCAGCAGTCCCTGGACTGTCCCCTGTGTAGCCGGGCAGCTTTGAAGGATGTTCTGACTAGCGGCCCTCAAGTTGGTCTCATCTAACTCTCTATGCAGCTCCGTGGGACAGGATGGAAGGCACAAGCCTCAACCAGCCCATGTCCAGAACTGCAGCTGATGACACTATGAGATGGAGCCTCAC